CTTCCATTTGTTTGTGTCCTCTTTTATTTCACTGAGCAGTGGTTTGTAGTTCTCCTTGAAGAGGTCGTTTACATCCCTTGTAAGTTGGATTCCTAGGTATTTTATTCTCTTTGAAGCAATTGTGAATGGAAGTTCATTCCTGATTTGGCTCTCTGTTTGTCTGTTACTGGTGTATAAGAATGCTTGTGATTTTTGCACATTAATTTTGTATCCTGAGACTTTGCTGAAGTTGCTTATCAGCTTAAGGAGATTTTGGGCTGAGACAATGGGGTTTTCTAAATATACAATCATGTCATCTGCAAACAGGGACAATTTGACTTCTTCTTTTCCTAACTGAATCCCCTTGATTTCTTTCTCTTGCCTGATTGCCCTAGACAGAACTTCCAACACTACATTGAATAGGAGTGGTAAGAGACGGCATCCGTGTCTTGTGCCAGTTTTCAAAGGGAATTTTTCCAGTTTTTGCCCATTCAGTATGATATTGGCTGTGGGTTTGTCATAAATAGCTCTTATTATTTTGAGGTACGTTCCATCAATACCGAATTTATTGAGCGTTTTTAGCATGAAGGGCTGTTGAATTTTGTCAAAAGCCTTTTCTGCATCTATTGAGATAATCATGTGGTTCTTGTCTTTGGTTCTGTTTATATGCTGGATTATGTTTATTGATTTGCGAATGTTGAACCAGCCTTGCATCCCAGGGATGAAGCCCACTTGATCATGGTGGATAAGCTTTTTGATGTGTTGCTGAATCCGGTTTGCCAGTATTTTATTGAGGATTTTTGCATCAATGTTCATCAGGGATATTGGTCCAAAATTCTCTTTTTTTGTTGTGACTCTGCCAGGCTTTGGAATCAGGATGATGTTGGCCTCATAAAATGAGTTAGGGAGGATTCCCTCTTTTTCTATTGATTGGAATAGTTTCAGAAGGAATGGCACCAACTCCTCCTTGTACCTCTGGTAAAATTCAGCTGTGAATCCATCTGATCCTGGACTTTTTTTGGTTGATAGGCTATTAATTATTGCCTCAATTTCAGAGCCTGCTATTGGTCTATTCAGGGATTCAACTTCTTCCTGGTTTAGTCTTGGAAGAGTGTAAGTGTCCAGGAAATTATCCATTTCTTCTAGATTTTCCAGTTTATTTGCGTAGAGGTGTTTATAGTATTGTCTGATGGTAGTTTGTATTTCTGTGGGGTCGGTGTTGATATCCCCTTTATCATTTTTAATTGCGTCAATTTGATTCTTCTCTCTTTTCTTCTTTATTAGTCTTGCTAGCGGTCTGTCAATTTTGTTGATCTTTTCAAAAAACCAACTCCTGGATTCATTGATTTTTTGGAGGGTTTTTTGTGTCTCTATCTCCTTCAGTTCTGCTCTGATCTTAGTTATTTCTTGCCTTCTGCTAGCTTTCGAATGTGTTTGCTCTTGCTTCTCTAATTCTTTTAATTGCAATGTTAGAGTGTCAATTTTAGATCTTTCCTGCTTTCTCTTGTGGGCATTTAGTGCTATAAATTTCCCTCTACACACTGCTTTAAATGTGTCCCAGAGATTCTGGTATGTTGTATCTTTGTTCTCATTGGTTTCAAAGAACATCTTTATTTCTGCCTTCATTTCGTTATGTACCCAGTAGTCATTCAGGAGCAGGTTGTTCAGTTTCCATGTAGTTGAGCGGTTTTGATTGAGTTTCTTAGTCCTGAGTTCTAGTTTGATTGCACTGTGGTCTGAGAGACAGTTTGTTATAATTTCTGTTCTTGTACATTTGCTGAGGAGTGCTTTACTTCCAATTACGTGGTCAATTTTGGAGTAAGTACGATGTGGTGCTGAGAAGAATGTATATTCTGTTGATTTGGGGTGGAGAGTTCTATAGATGTCTATTAGGTCTGCTTGCTGCAGAGATGAGTTCAATTCCTGGATATCCTTGTTAACTTTCTGTCTCGTTGATCTGTCTAATGTTGACAGTGGAGTGTTGAAGTCTCCCATTATTATTGTATGGGAGTCTAAGTCTCTTTGTAAGTCTCTAAGGACTTGCTTTATGAATCTGGGTGCTCCTGTATTGGGTGCATATATAGTTAGGATAGTTAGCTCTTCCTGTTGAATTGATCCCTTTACCATTATGTAATGGCCTTCTTTGTCTCTTTTGATCTTTGATGGTTTAAAGTCTGTTTTATCAGAGACTAGTATTGCAACCCCTGCTTTTTTTTGTTCTCCATTTGCTTGGTAAATCTTCCTCCATCCCTTTATTTTGAGCCTACGTATGTCTCTGCGTGTGAGATGGGTCTCCTGAATACAGCAGACTGATGGGTCTTGACTCTTTATCCAGTCTGCCAGTCTGTGTCTTTTAATTGGAGCATTTAGTCCATTTACATTTAAGGTTAAGATTGTTATGTGTGAACTTGATCCTGCCATTATGATATTAACTGGTTATTTTGCTCGTTAGCTGATGCAGTTTCTTCCTAGCCCCGATGGTCTTTACATTTTGGCATGTTTTTGCAATGGCTGGTACCGGTTGTTCCTTTCCATGTTTAGTGCTTCCTTCAGGGTCTCTTGTAAGGCAGGCCTAGTGGTGACAAAATCTCTAAGCATTTGCTTATCTGTAAAGGATTTTATTTCTCCTTCACTTATGAAACTTAGTTTGGCTGGATATGAAATTCTGGGTTGAAAATTCTTTTCTTTAAGAATGTTGAATATTGGCCCCCACTCTCTTCTGGCTTGGAGAGTTTCTGCCGAGAGATCTGCTGTTAGTCTGATGGGCTTCCCTTTGTGGGTAACCCGACCTTTCTCTCTGGCTGCCCTTAAGATTTTTTCCTTCATTTCAACTTTGGTGAATCTGGCAATTATGTGTCTTGGAGTTGCTCTTCTCGAGGAGTATCTTTGTGGCGTTCTCTGTATTTCCTGGATTTGAATGTTGGCCTGCCCTACTAGGTTGGGGAAGTTCTCCTGGATGATATCCTGAAGAGTGTTTTCCAACTTGGTTCCATTTTCCCCCTCACTTTCAGGCACCCCAATCAGACGTAGATTTGGTCTTTTTACATAATCCCATACTTCTTGCAGGCTTTGTTCATTTCTTTTTCTTCTTTTTTCTTTTGGTTTCTCTTCTCGCTTCATTTCATTCATTTGATCCTCAATCACTGATACTCTTTCTTCCAGTTGATCGAGTCAGTTACTGAAGCTTGTGCATTTGTCACGTATTTCTCGTGTCATGGTTTTCATCTCTTTCATTTCGTTTATGACCTTCTCTGCATCAATTAATCTAGCCATCAATTCTTCCACTTTTTTTTCAAGATTTTTAGTTTCTTTGCGCTGGGTACGTAATTCCTCCTTTAGCTCTGAGAAATTTGATGGACTGAAGCCTTCTTCTCTCATCTCGTCAAAGTCATTCTCCGTCCAGCTTTGATCCGTTGCTGGCGATGAGCTGCGCTCCTTTGCCGGGGGAGATGCGCTCTTATTTTTTGAATTTCCAGCTTTTCTCCCCTGCTTTTTCCCCATCTTTGTGGTTTTATCTGCCTCTGGTCTTTGAAAATGGTGATGTACTGATGGGGTTTTGGTGTAGGTGTCCTTCCTGTTTGATAGTTTTCCTTCTAACAGTCAGGACCCTCAGCTGTAGGTCTGTTGGAGATTGCTTGAGGTCCACTCCAGACCCTGTTTGCCTGGGTATCAGCAGCAGAGGCTGCAGAAGATAGAATATTTCTGAACAGCGAGTGTACCTGTCCGATTCTTGCTTTGGAAGCTTCCTCTCAGGGGTGTACTCCACCCTGTGAGGTGTGGGGTGTCAGACTGCCCCTAGTGGGGGATGTCTCCCTGTTAGGCTACTCAGGGGTCAGGGACCCACTTGAGCAGGGAGTCTGTCCCTTCTCAGATCTCGACCTCCGTGTTGGGAGATCCACTGCTCTCTTCAAAGCTGTCAGACAGAGTCGTTTGCGTCTGCAGAGGTTTCTGCTTCGTTTGTTATTGTTTACTGTGCCCTGTCCCCAGAGGTGGAGTCTACGGAGACAGGCAGGTTTCCTTGAGCTGCTGTGAGCTCCACCCAGTTCGAGCTTCCCAGCAGCTTTGTTTACCTACTTAAGCCTCAGCAATGGCGGGCGCCCCTCCCCCAGCCTCGCTGCTGCCTTGCCGGTAGATCACAGACTGCTGTGCTAGCAATGAGGGAGGCTCCGTGGGTGTGGGACCCTCCCGGCCAGGTGTGGGATATGATCTCCTGGTGTGCCTGTTTGCTTAAAGCGCAGTATTGGGGTGGGAGTTACCCAATTTTCCAGGTGTTGTGTGTCTCAGTTCCCCTGGCTAGGAAAAGGGATTCCCTTCCCCCTTGCGCTTCCCAGGTGAGGCAATGCCTCGCCCTGCTTCAGCTCTCGCTGGTCGGGCTGCAGCAGCTGACCAGCACCGATCGTCTGGCACTCCCCAGTGAGATGAACCCAGTACCTCAGTTGAAAATGCAGAAATCACCGGTCTTCTGTGTCGCTTGCGCTGGGAGTTGGAGACTGGAGCTGTTCCTATTCGGCCATCTTGCTCCGTCCCCCCCACCTTTTTTTTTTTTTTTTGAGATAGAGTCTCGCTCCATCACCCAGGCTAGAGTGCAATGGTGTGCTCTCGGCTCACTGCGGCCTCCTCCTCCTGGGTTCAAGCAATTCTTGTGCCTCAGCCTCCCAAGTAGCTGGGACTACAGGCACACACCATCATGCCCAGCTAATATTTTGTATTTTAAATAGAGACAAGGTTTCACCATTTTGGCCAGGCTGGTCTGGAACTCCTGAGCTCAGGTGATCTGCCTGGCAGGGCCTCCCAAAGTGCTGGGATTACAGGCATGAGCCACTGTGCCCAGGCAGTTTCCAGTCTTCTTATCCTCTTCCCAAATTTTTCAAATTCTTGAGAAAGATAATCTGATTTGCCCAGATACTCACTTTCATCTCTATCTGAATGAACTTAGTGGAATCTCTCTGAAACTTCATTTCCTCATCTGTAAAGTGGGGATAATACCATCCACTTATTTTATAGCCCTATTGTGAGAACTGAACAGATAATGAGTGTGTAGCAGTTAGTAGATGACTGGCAAATAATGCTCAACACATGTAAAGTCCTTCCTTTCCTTTCCCTCAAGGCCATGTATAGTGCCTTTTCCCGGATCAGTGGCATTGTAGGTACTTAGCAACTATTTGTTGTTTATTAATAAAAATTATATGTGTGTGCCTTTATGTGTATGTGTGTGTGTATGCATATATATACACACATATATATATAAAAAACACATATACATAGAGAGAGAGAAAGAGAGAGAGACATATACAGAGAGAAAGAGGAGAAAGAAATATTTATTTAATATATAGCCAGCTATTTGAAATTAGGCATTTGGAAAAATAATACAGATGCAGAATAAAAACTATGAATACTTGCTATTTTTGAGCATTGGAATATTTTGTCTGTATTCAAATTTCTTGTGCTTATCATACTCTCCAGTTAAAGATGGTCTCAGCTGTCCATTCCTGGGTTCCTTACCGAGTTCCGCCAAAACATTTACATAAATCTTTTATAAACTTATCTGAATGGCTCCTCTTCCATTCCTTTCTATTATGTTTGTTCTCTGACCCACCATGCCACTCATTCTGATGATGATTTTGATAAAAGGAAACACTAATATTTGGCTTGCATCAAAATTTTATGAAGAGGTTACGTGTAGATTTGTTGGTAGGGAAAAAAACACAGATGTTTTATCCACCCTTCATTCTACCATCCTACCTATCTACATTTATAATACAAATATTCAGAGACATTCTGGCAATGATCTTTTTCAAAATCCAGAAATGTCTGGAACAAAGCAAAATAAAAACAAATAAAAATACCCTCAAGTGCTTCATCTCTGTTATAGGGAAAACAACGATAGAGCCTAAAAATCAAACCTGAGTTTGAGTCCTGACTCTGCTACTTATTATCAAGCAATTAGGAGCTTCTAAACTTGAGAAGAAACATAATGAGACAAATACAAAATGTACATTAGCAGAAAAAATGCTGTAGACCCATAGTCTTGCCCAGATGTTCCAAAGTCGACTAACTGGCTACACAACTTCGGGCAAGTTGTTAAACCACATTGGGCTGCACTTGTAAAGCAATGGAATTAAAGAAGAGGCTCCTTAAAGCTCCTTTCCATCCTTTGCTTCACGGTATCATTAAAAGTGCAGTCATTCTTGTTAAAGTTTACGCTTTTCCATAGCCCTAAGCTCAGAGGACTCTCCCATTACAGCTCTTCAACTGTTAAGGAAACCTACCATGCTCATGTGTTTTCTTATTCTAGTGCTGACAATTCTCAGCTTTTGTTTTTTGTTTTTGTTTCTGGAGCCAAGGTTTCACTATTTTGCCCCGGCTGGGCTCAAGTGATCCTCCCACCTCAGCCTTCCAAGCAGTTGGAACTTCAGGCATGCAACACGATGCCTGGCTAGCCTTCGGTTCTATAAAGAAGTAGGTCTTGAAACAAAATTAGACAACATTGTAATCATCAAAGACATAGTCATCATTAGTCATAACCAAGTAACAGCTCCTAGTCAGAGTACTGCCTGGCCTATATTTCATTTTAATCCTCTAATAATCCTGTGCTTAATAATTATTCCCATTTTATAGGTGAGAAAATCAAGTTTCTTCACAGAACCTTTTCAAGCAAATATCCTACCTCTCTAGAAAATGTATTATTAAGACTTTCATTATACTTTCATTTGTTACTTATTGGAGAATATTGTTCTAGCCTTTTAAATAAGTCAAAAGCTACTAATTACAAATAATAAAAGAGTCCAGCATACAAGTTAATACAACAAACAGACAAATAATCCTTGCAAGTTTTCATCAGAATTGAAGATAGGCTGCATGTACTCATGGACTTTCCCTGTTTGTAGAGCTAAGCAGCTGCCCTTTTGGCTGTTTCCATCATAACTGCACAAGGGCTCTGGAGTCATGCTACGAAGCATAGATACTGTCGTCTTCATGCTGTTATCAGATTTCCATGCAAAGAACTGTAGTTCACAGCTTTAGGGGTAAGGGATGCAAAAACATTGGTGAAGTGTCTTCTTTTCCCAGAAGCTTTCACAGTAGCATGGCCCTAAGTGCATGCCAATTGGGAGGCTTTATCTCTAGAAGGCCAAATGGGGGTCAGAGGAGGCTGATGAGGGGTTAGCATGGAAGAATTGAGAGGGGGATGAAATCAGAAGCCCTGGCCAGTAGTACAGCAAGTGCAGGGATCAGCATCCTCAGGTGTATACTTTTTTTAGGACTTTAAGTGGCAGCAGTAGCTGACTGGATGGGTTATGGGTCCAGGAAAAGTATAAGTACCCTATATCATATTTTAAAAACTTGCTCTCAACCTGTAGGTCTAACACAGTGGCTACTTAAATTTAATTAAAATTAAATAGAAGGTAAAGTTCAGTTCCTCTGTGGCACTAGCAACACTTCAGGTGCTCAACAGCCACACATGTGGCTACTGGCTACAGGATCTAGCACAGACATAGAATATTTCCATAAACACAGAGAGTTCTATTGGACAGCATTGCTTTAGAGTCTAGAATATATAAAAAAATCAACATTTAAAATGTTTGAAGTTTAATCATCACTGGGGAAATATATATGGCATACTGGTTATGAGAACAGACTCTGTATCCAAACTTCATGGACTCAAATCCTGGCTCCAAGCTTTGCTAATTATATGACTTTGGGCGTGCTATTAACCACTCTGTCCCTCAATTTCTCCATCTGTAAAATTGGGACAATAAGAGTGCAAATTTTAGAAGGTTGTGGTAAGGGATGATGTATGTAAAGCACTTACAATGGTTTCCAACACGTTGTAAGTGCTATTTAAATGTTAGCTCTTAATATTATTAGTTTCTCACAGAAACATACTTCTATAATGTAGTACCTATTTCTGGGGAATAGATATAAACTGATTCAGATGTCTGACCCTTTCTGCATTTCCCCCTGCCCATGAACCAAGTCTGTATTGAACAGGTTAAAACACTCTCTTGTCACCATGAGTATGTACAAGACCAGGGTGAACTCTCTTCTTACTTGTACAACAGAATGTCGGCCGCCTGGAGTACTGGGTATGTGAGCAGGCCCCCTGTGCCATCGTGCTTCTGCTTGGTAGTCTTTGCCTGTGAGAGGTGAAAAGAGAGGAGGGTTAGAAATCTGAAATCTGACTTGAACCTAATTATACTGCTAAATTAAGAAAATTTTAAAACAAGCAAATTGTGATCTGCAGCCACCTGTAATAACATTACATGTGGGTTCCTTTTTAGCAACTCTAGCCATCTTCTGGCTCACTTGTCTTCATGCTCCAGGCTGAGGCAGGAATAAGGAGAGTGCATTTCACCACTGCCCCTTTAAAGGATCCTGCCCGGCTACTATTTCTTATTTATTTTATTAAAGTAAGGATACAGGTAGTATTTATTGGTTCCAAATCAGATAAATTCCAGATTTCACAGACAAGGTCACAAATTATCATGAAATTAAATCTCTACAAATTAACTGGAGTTAATATCAAAAGCCCTATTGTTTATATGTGGAAACTTCCCAAAAAGTCTCACAGCATGCTACTGAGAAAACTGGAATGTTCCCTTAAAATCACATTTAAATAACAAAAAACAAAAAATCATGGCATTTAAAATAAAACTAAGTGAGAGAAATTTTCATCTAACCAATCGTAATGACCTGTCTTGATCCTTAGGTGATTAAGCATGCTGAAGCAGTGAGGGTCAAGTGACCCAATGAACAGTACAGGTTGTATAGACCAAAACAGTTCCTTAATGGAGAAGTTGATGGAAATACCTGAGATGATATTAGAAACATTTAATAACTGGGTAGCAATAGATGTTGACTATAAACTACTACTGTGTACTCAGTAAACATGATCCTAATGATGCTAACTCCCTTGCTGCGGCTGCACATTGCTGACATGTCATTTGGTTCTCTGAGTAGAGCTGTTTATCAGATGGGAATACTCTGTGCAGTTTCAAGGCCTAAGGTATAGCATCTCTTGTAAAATAAATGGATGCTTTGGTATGTAGACAAATCTTATCCATTTAGTTAATGTGAATCATTTCCCTCAAGTCTGATTATTTCAAAATGAACTGGGCAACTGAATTTATAAACTTGTTTTATTCCAGGGACCAAGCTCATGAGCTTACAAATTTGGGGTACCCCTACCAAGGTGCAGACACACTTTTTAAGGCTCAATCTGAAAATACAACAGCTTCTCTCCTTAGTCATCTTAATTTTGGTGTTTCATAATTTAGTTACAAACTTTTCTGAGTATACTTCAAGTGGTTTCTGGCTTATAGCAACCAATGCTCTAGGCCATTCAAAGGAAATTTGAATGTTTGAACATACAATCTCTTCACTACATCCCCTAATTACAAAGTTCATGATAAAGGCTAGTTCACAATTATCACCAGGTAAAGATAATGAAATTTTAATTTGGAAATGCGCAAATTGGAAAAGAACCCAATTTTTAAAAGTTGCCATCCCATTCAATTTATAGCCTTTTCATATTAGCGTAATGGACCTTGAAATTACAAGGGAGAGGGAAAATGTGGAGAGCATTAATATTTATTGAGTGCCTATTATGTGCTCCAGATGTTTTACATATATGTTACTGATTAATCCTCTAAATAACCCTGACCTCGGCAACCCTCACCCCACCCTTCTGTGCCACTATTCTACCTTTTGCTGTCCCAATGGAAACCAAGCTAGATGCCCTTATCAGATCCGCCATGGCACCGGAATCCGGCCCTCAGAGCGCTTCTTACACTTTCTTATTACTTATTTAATTGTCTCTTCCCAAACAGACTATAAGCCTCATGAAGGGGGCTACTTCTTATTGACTGCTATTATCTCTAGCACCTAATATGACGTAAGACTCACAGAAGATATCACTAGTATTTAATTAGTATTAATGAAGGAATGACCACAGAAGACAGTGACATACCTGAGGATGAGACTGGGATTTGAAATTCATGTTTTTCCTACAAACAAGCAATTATATACTAATGGAAAGGTTTTTCCAGAATATCAGTACATGCACTAGTAATGTGCTACCAGGAGATCTTTAGATGCTGTTTTAAAGTGGGAATAGTTCCTATTAGATTAGTATTCAGTTCCTATAAAAAGGATTTCAACATTACACTTAATGGTAGAATATTATGGAGAAAGTATTGCCTAAAACCAAAATACGGCAGATAACATTATGAAACTTTGTTTCTAATTCGTGGCAAATAATGAATCTGCAGCATTACCAGTTCTGTCTTACGTATTAAGTGTCTTAGTCCACTCAGGCTGTTATAACAAAATACCCAACTAGGTGGCTTGTAAACAACAGAAATTTACTTCTCATAGTTCTGGAGGCTGGGAAGTCCAAGATGAAGGCAAAGTCAGTGTCTGGTGAGGAACCTTGTTCATGGACAGTGACTTCTAGCTCTGTCCACAGATCATGGCAGGAGCAAGCAGTCTCTCTCGGGCCTCTTTAACAAGAGCTCGAATCTCACTTGTGAGGGCACCACCCTCATGATTTAATCACCTTACTAAGGCCCTGCCTCCTAATACTGTCATATTGGGAGTTAGGTTTCAACATATAAATTTTGGAGGGACACATTCAGACCACAGCATTTAGGAACTGTCACTTTAAAGCTTTGTCTTTTTCTTTCTGTAGCATGTGTGAAGGCTTCTAAAGACCAGCTTTTGAGGAAACCAATGGCCCTGAAAATACGCTCAAAAGAAGCTTGAAATTGAAATTAATGTTGACGTAGTTGGGGGCTACCTACCCTGGGGTTATCCAATTGCAAAAATAAATGGAAGTAAAGTACTATGAATTATTCAATTTATCTTTCTTGGTTGAACGTCTTAGAAAAAGTATAGCCCTAATTATTCTGTGGGTTTGAACTGTTGCCTGGACTCAACTTGTTTAACTGTTAAATATAATATGTTGTCTCTTCTCTCCACATAAAAACATTCTTTCCTTACTGCCAGTTAATTCCAGTGGAAATGGGAGGCAACTTCAGGGTCCAGTAATCAAGAATCTGTGATTGTTTATTAACTATGTAGTTGTTCAAAGTCATTACCAAGTCTATCCAAAGGTAACGCTGATTCAACTGTACACAGATAAAAACGATTAACATCATTTTTAAGTCCGGAGGAATCTTGGAAAATCCTTTTATTTTCCTTTCAATACCCTGAAGCAGGGAGGTTAAAGATGATGTTCCAACCATTAGTGAGTAGCAGACCAGGGAGGAGAGTAAACTCAGGATTCCCAGAACCTAACATAAAAATAAACAAGAAGGGAAAAATAGCTTATTGTCTGTTTATTAATCAGATTACTGGCATTTACCTTCCACTGATGTAAATGTTGTAATCGAGGTAGTCTGACCATGCAGGAAAGGATCCAACTTAACTGTGTGTGTTCAGACACCTAAAGAAATAAAATAGGACGTTAGTAAAGGTGGCCAGTGTTTTCTTGCATATAAGAACTAAATAGTAAGTATTACCCTAAATGTCTGAAAATACCCCAGATCAAGGTTATTATAAGAACAGGTGAAGGGGGCTTAGTTCTGATTCATGATGGATAGACTCTTCAGTGAAGAAAAAAATCATACAAGCTAACTGATTTAAGTATTAATCTAGTGTTTAAGTCTACTCCACAATACACCAGATTCTGCTTCAACATCTTCAATGAGAAAGTTTCATGATGTCCTGAGGCATCTGTTCTATCTGTAAAAAGCCAAGCTTATTAAGAAGACTCTCTCTCTTTCTCTATCACACACTCACATACTCACACACACTCACACACTGGTTCTAAGCTTCTCTAAATAACTTCTAAATATATCAAAGCAGCTATAGTACTTTACATATAAGTGGTGAAAAAAAGAACTGGACTTAACATTAAAGATTGAATTCTTTAGATCTAGGGTAATTTGAAAATTAGAGATCGCCTTATCATTCCATCACCCCAAAGAGTATTTTTATAGTTTCTAGTTCCTCCTCTTTCTCCTCTTTTTCATCTTTCTCTTCCTCCTTTTCTTTTTTTTTTTTTTTTTAAGAAGTCTAATCAACAAGAAAATATAAACTTTCCCTTTTTTTTTTTCTTTGAGACAGAGTCTTACTCTGTTGCCCAGGCTGGAGTGCAGTGGCGCGATCTCAGCTCACAGCAGCCTCAGCCTCCTGGGTTCAAGCAGTTATCTGCCTCAGCCTCCCAAGTAGCTGGGATTACAGGCACCCATCACCATGCCTGGCTTTTTTTTTTTTTTGGTCTTTTTAGGAGAGACGGGGTATCTTGGCCAGGCTTATCTTGAACTCCTGACCTCGTGATCCACCCACATTGGCCTCCCAAAGTGCTGGGGTTACAGGCATGAGCCACCGCGCTCAGCCCCAAATTTGTTTTTGTTTCAACCAAATTTAATCAAGTTACCAAACCTGATGACTACAATTTAAGGCCTATGCATCCTGTTTCTGTGTTCTGGGGATTACAAGCTCTTCATCAACTGTGGCTTTTTTTTTTTTTTTTTTAATGTCCACATGATTTCCTTAAAAAACAGAGACTGTTGCCAACTCTGAAAAGTGGCCCCAAATGTGTTCTTTGTGGGTTTTGCAAAAAGAACATAAAGGAGTGGAGCTGAATCAGCCAGGCCTGTTTTACTAGCAAGGAATCACCATCTGTTGTAAGATGGTTTCTCATTTCTTTCCTCAAGTTATAGAGAGGGAGGAGTTGTTTTTCACGTGTTTGACAAGGAATCACTTTTAAAGTTTTGCAAGTCCGTGGGCTGAATCTGTCATCTTTCTTCCAAGAGGCATTTGGGTTTCATTGAGGGCAGTGACATTGATACACTGTCCATGCAAATTGCTAACTGCTGCTGTAAACAAATAGTTAAACAGTAACTAACCCTGGATGTAGGCAAGAGGACTAGAGTTGCTTCCAATCACCAAGGAAAATACATTCCCATTGGAAGTAATAAAACAAGAGCTGTTTTTTTGGCATGAAGAAGTAGGAGAGAATTTTTTTTCTTCTCTTTACTGAATTGGGAGAAAGGAATGAAAACACAGATAACCATGGTTATGTGGAAAGAGACAAGATGACGCCTCTTTAACTCTGATTCAAATGCTTAGCTTTGGTGATATGCAAAAAGCTACTACCAGGTCTCCATGAAGCTGAGTATTTTCCTTGGAGTAACTTTTTATTTGGACATACGGAATGAAACTTACTTAATATTCTGCAAAGATCTTCCTGGTGTTTCCAAAATAGTGAGCATAAAATTAATTCAAATTATCCTCACACAGAAAAAGTAGGTAAAAGGTCAATGGCAATTAATTTTTCACAATTCATTTTTAATAATGATATAATAAGAGTAGGATACTTCAGATTTGGTTGTCTTACTTTGTACATATTCATGACAATTGCTTGGAAAGGTTCAGATTTCCATTTGGGGGAAAAAGGGAAAATGGTATCTAAATATATTTTATCATTTATGTTGTGAAACCACAAGCAAACTAGCTATATAACCTGATTGGCCACAGAAAAACAAAGGCATGGACAATAAAGTCGCCTATTGACCATCCATAAACAAGTCAGCAGCAGAAACAACAAGAAAGAACTGAAGATTTCAGACCTCTAATTCTAAAAGGTGCATTCTTCAGTTGCAGCTGTTTTGCCTATCTTTTTTACAGCTGTAGAACATAACTTGGTACATTGTATGTCTCAGGAAATACTTGTTGAATGTGTTGGCAATAGGAAAGGCTGTAAAAAGAATGGGACCATTAGGTTTGGCAACAGACTTGGTGATTGAGGCAAAAGCAGTTTCAGGGGAGTGATTGGGATGAAAGGTAAATTGCAGTGGGCTGACGAGTGAGACTAGAAGGCAAGATATAAAGACAGATATGCAATAAGGATTGCACAGTAGTTAAGAGTTCTGTCTTTGGAGTGAGGTTGCCTGGATCTGAATGCAAGTTCTGCCACTTAGTTGCTGAGTGACTCTGTGTGAGTGATTTAATCTCTTTGCGTCTCAGTTTTCTCCTCTAGAAGATGAGGTTAACAATAATATCCCCCTGATAGTATGTAAACAGAACCTAGCACATAGTAACCACTCAATAAATGGTGGCTCTTATTATTCTAATTTTTAGAAATACTTCTGTTTTAACTTTTAATTTTAAGATAAGTGTACATTCACATACAGTTGTAAGAAATAATACAGAGTGATCCCATATGCCCTTAACCCACTTTCCCTCAATGGCAACATCATGCATAACTACAGCTTAATATCACAATGATACAGAAGTGGGGAAGGGAAGGTCGTGGTCCCTTTAAATGATACAAAAGAGGGGCAGGGCATGGTCTATGGCTAGGGCTCCACCCCCGGACCTGTGCTCATGGACCTAGATGAAGAGAAACATTTTTGTTTTCCTGCCCAAATGTTGCATTTTCCAAGACCACCCTGGTCAATCACACCCTCATCCTGTGCCTATAAAAACCGCGAGACCTGGACAGGACCGATGGCTCATGCCTGTAATCCCAACACTTTGGGAGGCTGAGGTGGGCAGATCACCTGACGTCAGGAGTTCAAGACCAGTCTGACCAACATGGCGAAACCCCATCTCTACTAAAAATACAAATATTAGCTGGGCATGATGGCAGGTGCCTGTAATCCCAGCTACTCGGGAGGCTGAAGCGGGAGAATCGCTTGAATCCGGGAGGCAAAGGCTGCAGTGAGCAGAGATCACGGAGACCATGCCATTGCACTCCAGCGTGGACAACAAAGCGAGACTCTGTCTCAAAACAAACAAACACACAACAAACAAACAAAAAACCCTGAGACCTTAGCAGGCAGACACACAGGCGGCTGGACATAAAGGGGAGCACATCAGTGGAGGAACACATGAAACATGGGGGGCTCGACAGGCAGCTGCACACCAGCAGGCCACTGACGGGCGGAACGACATGGAGTTTGTCTGGGGCAGTCGGAGGAGAACCCTGGCCACTCAGGGGAAAGCAGCCCACTCCAGGGGAAAACCATCTCCCTTCTGGCTCCCCCATCTGCTGAGAGCTACTTCCACTCGATAAAACCCTGCACTCATTCTCCAAGCCCACATGTGATCCAATTCTTCCGGTACACCAAGGAATCAGGGATACAGAAAGCCTTCTGTCCTTGCAATAAGGCAGGGGTCTAATTGAGCCACCACAAGCACTTTACAGATGGCTAAACTAAAAGAGTTCCCTGTAATACACGCCCACTGGGGTTTCAGCAATAAACATTCACCCCTAGACACTGCCATGGGGTCAGAGCCCCACAGCCTGCCCATCTGTACGCTCCTCCAGAGGTGTGAGCAGCGAGGCACTGTGAGCCACTCTGAGCCACTTCCCCTGTCACACATCCTGCGAGGGGGACAAGGGAACCTTTCCTGTTTCAACAACAAGAACATTCTGAATTTGATGCAATCCCTCCACCCTATTGAGATTTCCCTAGTTTTATATGCACGAATTGTGTGGGGTATGTTTAGTATTATGCACGTTAATCATATGTGTAAGACATTTGTTTTTCAAGGAAGGATTAAGATGGGATAACTGATAGGAGTTAGAAAATAAGCATTTTGTTTTGTTTTCTAAATTGGGATAACACACTGTCGATGTACTGAGCAGAGGGAGAGCCACTAAAGATTCAGGAAAGGGGATAATTCAAAGAACAATATTTCTGAAAGAGGAAAAGGAATGATACCCAACAGAGGTAAAATAATGGATGATGAAATATCTTCCATATCTTCCACTGAAAGGAGAGATGGGGGAAGTGAAGACAGATGAGGACATATCCTGTGAGTTCAGAGTGGAGGACAGAAAGTTTTAGAGGAATCCACATCTAGCAGGCTCTGTTATCTCTGAAAATAGAAGACAGGGTGATTAGAAATAAATGAGGTAAGAAATATACTCAAGAGAATTTCTGGGTGTGATAAGAAGGAACAAAAAAGGTCTTATGGAGTGGAGTTACATGAGACTTGAATTGATATTTTGTGGATATTTTTGTGAATGAAAGAAGACAAATGATACATAAATTATACTCTTGGGGAAACTGATATTCTTTACAGTAGCCTAAAATATTCTGCCTAAGTAATAATGGATATTTAAAAGATTTGTAGAAAAAAATTAAATCAGTTGACTGCATTTTAAATTTCCTTTGGTCAGCAAGGACTTTAATAGGATCCAAAAAAGCACTAAACATAAAGCAAAAAATCTTGGTAGATTAAACTACATTAAAATTAAGGACTTTTCCTTATCAAAATTCACCATAGGGTGAATAAGCAAGCCACAGACTGGGAGAAGATACCTGCAATACCTACACAGAATATATTGGTACACAGAATACGTGAAAGACTCCTATGAATTTATAACAAGTAGATAAAACCTATAAAATTAGCCAAAAATAGGAATAAGTAATTCACGCAAAATAAGATCTCCAAATGACA